GGCATGCAACCACTTGTCACTCCCCAGTGTTAACAAATGCATGCAAAACACTCATCATGCCCCAATGCACCCAAGTCAAGAGAAGGGAAAATGGGAAAAAGAGATCATTGGATAAATATTTGAGATCTCCAAAATTCAGGAATGTCGGAATGTCCCTAGAGGACACTGTCCCTATGGCTTATGAGGCTCAGAAAGGTGCACAGTGCCTCTGAGCACTGWGCTCAGAGGTCCTGGAGCACAGACCTCAGTGCTGACCCACTGATGTTGGGTTGTGCTGACCGCCTGAGGGACCTAAGTGACAGTATCTCCTATGTTAGGGTGGGGATTTTTTAGACATTAAATTAAAGCCACTTGGAAGCTGTACATATGTGTTTAGGGAGGTTATAATTTTAACTCAAAAGCTGCAGTTTCCATTGCCAAAATTGCTCAACAGCTCAGCAATTTTGCTTCAGCAGTCTTGGGAAAAACTGACTTTTATGGTATTTAGCACCCAGGAGCTGGAAGAACTATGGGCCATGTTTTATTATTGGTATTAATATTGTTATTTTTTTCCTTTCTCTCTCTCTCTCTCTCTCTCTCTCTCTCTCTCTCTCTCTCTCTCTCTTTCTTTCTCTCTCTCTCTCTCTTTCTTTGCATTTTAAGTTTAAAACTTCTAGGTAACTAGAAGAAATATATTGTATAAGAGGGAAAGGAAAGTTGAGAGATTGCATAGTCCTGCTTAAGTCACACTGACCATGAAGATGTCACTGTGAGGATAGGCAATCTTTAAATTAGAAGCATTACTTTAGTCTCTAAGATGTGAATTAAGCTGTGATTTAGAATCAAGCAGACTTTTGATTCATGTACCTATAAAACTGCTTCAGTGGGGCTGTGAACTGCCCAGAAGACACATACGTACTGACAAGGGACTTGTCTTGTCTCAGTGCCTTTTCTTGACCCCTTCAGAATAATCTATATTGTTCCTGGAAACCGAGTAAGCAGGACTTAAAAATACATCATTTAAACAAAATGTTGTATTTTATAAGCAAAGACAATTCCAAACTGATATCAATAGGGTAAATTACCAGCTTTGCAAGATCAGAAGTCCAACATCTAGCTCATTGGGCTTGGACTGAGCTACAGGGTTTACATCAGTGGCACATTTGGGCCACATTCTTTCTCTTCACATATGAGGAAACTATGCACTGAATTAGAAGGTGCACACCCTCCTCACTTCATGTCCACCACTGTGGAGCTAAGTATTTGTTTGCTTTTTAATTTCAGGGGAGGAGAGCAGAAACAAGCTAATCTCATAAAGGTTCACCCCACCCTGTGCTTGGCTCCTCTTTCTTGGCGATCCTCCCTGGTAGCAGCTGGCTGGCTGTTTTTCTTATGCAATTGTATTCATGACATTTCCTGCAAGTAGGTTTTTTCTGAAGGTTTCCAGCAGTCATTTCAGCCCTCTCTGCCTGCCTTGCTTTGGCGTCCTCTGCCACTAAGCATGGCCTCGTGCCTAGTTCACACAACTGTAACATATATCTCATGTCCATGCATATACTTTGTGTGCCCTCAACAGATGCAAAGAACTTCTGTGGCTTGTTTTCTTGTTTGCAAGTCCAGTTAGCTTACCAAAAGCCAGTGTCCAGTATAAGGGATGCAGAGCAGTTTTGTTGCCAGAASTGGTATTAGCAGAGTCACAAGCTACCTGCTCCATCCGACAGGAATGGACGTGGTTGCATTCCTGGCTGTTGCTGACCAATATCTTGGCTCTTACTTCATTTATCACATTATGTTTTCTTGAAGAAGCACATATATCCCTCTCCATGCAAAAGAAACTCWTATAACGAATTGAGAGGAGGGCTTGTACATAAATTCTAGATTATTTCTGTGCAGCTGTACTTTCCCTCTCTGCTATACTAAAAATGGCATGCACTTTCYGTTTGTAAGCTTTTATAAACACCCAAATGACTTAATCTTTTAGTGTAAAAGACTGCTTGTATATTAAGCTTTGTGTTATCAATGTCATTAAATCAATACCCTCAGTGCCCAAGGAATCCATATCACATTTGAGCTTAMGTTTGACTTAAGAAATGCAGTATTGAGACACCGTAGATTGTTTTTTTTTCATAGATCGATGGGTACTTCAAATTAGATCAATTGAAGATCARTGAAGGCTTATTTCCCATGGTTGCCGGTTCCTTATATATGGCAATTTCTAATTTAATGACAATTTTGTAGCAGAACTTCAATGAAGTCTAAGAAGGTGAGTGTTAGATGCAGTTACCATGCCTGGCTCTGTGAAACCTTGTGAGGCCTACATTGTATATATTAAACTATGGAATATATTCTCTAAAGAGAACTACATTGACAAAATGTCACTTACCCTTCTTTTATACACATTATATATCTATTATTTTCCCGTGTGGATGTACACAAACTTCTGGACACCAAATAGTCCAGAGATTATATAGCCTCACTTGGTGTACCTCCTTATCTAATGAGTGACATCTGTGTTTGGAGTTAAAGGCGGAGAAAAACAATAACTTGTCCATTGCCAGAGACATTTAATTGAGGGTAAAACATACATCTGGGTTTTATTTCTGTTAAAAGATACACAACTGAAGTGCACATCTCATTCCAACCTGACCCTGAAGCGCCCTTTCCATTAGTGTATTAAGAATCAAGATTTATCTAGAACTATCTTGCAAATAGGAGATGACAGTTATTGTATGATCCTACCTAGCTGCTATTACAGCACATCTCTTTCTCTTTCAGCCACTGTATGTCTGTCTGTCACACAACTGAAGTAATTTGTAATACAAACWGACGGTACGAATCCTCTCAATTGTTTTCTTCAGGAAAGCTGTAGACATGATGGGCATAACGCTGTACAGCATAATAGGAAACATTATGCTCCRTGCCCTTGCTGCTGGTAAAACAAAATGAACTCTGCCAGTGAAAGTGGGTTAACCAAAGTCACCCAAGGCATTTTTTCCAGCTGTGGGTTATGGATTAGTCTTTTGCAGTCTCTACACTGGTGGTGTCTAGAGATGGTCTGAACATCAAGAAGTGGGATTAAGCAAAAGAAGTCATTTCTAAAAGGCATTATGTGTTTCGTAAAAAGTTTGCAATTTAGAAGACGTGAAGCCCTGCCTTTATTTCCTTGTGATGKKGGACTTGAATCTTGTCCTGTTATACTTTCCTAGTGCAGCACAGCTGGAGAAAGTGGAAAGTGAGCAACTCTGCACCCTGTCAGCACAAGGACCATGTGTGGACCAGAGTTAGTTATAGCACACAGTTGTTTTTTATTCTTTAACATTTTTACTGCTAATATCCCTAGTATATAAATTGCACTCTGTGCTTTGAGGCTATATATAGATGGTAACTACTGCCCACATCACAAAACAAGATTTAGCACTGCAAAAATTTGTCCAGCGTTGACAGAACTAGGAGTTTAGAAGTAACTAAGATTAATGCTAGTAGGGTTATCCATTTATTTTTCATGGTACTCTGCCATCAGACCACACTCCTTTAATTACAAATATGTCCAATATGGCTATATCTCCATCCAGCTGCACTACGTTGGGTCTCACATACCTCAGGTGATTGTTTACTTGCTCCGCTCACACAAAAAGCTTGAACCAAATCCGGCTAGAACCAAAGGGGAAATAAAGACCTTTAGCAGATAAGCAACAATATTATCTCTTCATTAAACTATGATTCTGTAAGTACATGACCTGCAGTATTAGCTGTTTCTAAGATGGGRGAAAACAAGTTAGCCAGGATCGGTCAAGGAACTAGGATTTTTTTGAAGAGATGTTGCTCAAGTAGATAGGCAAATTCCATTTGTACAATCCAGAGATATGAGATATTGAGAACAAATTAATAAATGGGCTTATCTACTGTATAGTTGCTTCAAGTGTGTGGAAATCCAGTGTGAATGTCTTGTGTTAGGCAGAAATGCTTTGCTATYGCTAGCAAGGAGGGAGCTGTGCTACCTTGTGCCTGATACTTCACTGTTGGACTTGTGGGAGAGGAGACGGAAAATTGCATCAGACTTCTTATGCTTGCTTAAGTTGAGCATCCTGTTTAGAACTGATTTTTTTGTTCACTTGTTTTCACTAAGACAATGAAAGTCTTGGWTATATTATGGCTTGACAATACTGTCCTTCTGTTATAATAATCTGGGGAGTCTTAATTCCCCACTAATTTCTTTATGTTGAAGACTCCTTCCACTCCTAAGGTAGCGTGTAACATAATGTAGACTTTATTCATATATACATATATATATATATTTACACACATGGACCGTAAAAACCCTTTGGTTTGCATGTTTTGTCTTCAACGTTTTTATTTCTGCTTTTTGAACTCCAACATCATACGAACTATTTTGTCATGAAACTGGTATACCAGCAGAGAACGGGGTGTCAGACCTTTCTGAATTGCCAAGACCGAGTCAATGGCTAAATCTATTCGTGGAAGATACAAATGTGTGGTCATAATGCCAAGGTCTGTTAATCTAAAATCTTGGATTATGGCATTGGTCTTTYGTTTTGATTGTATATTTAAAAGTAATCACTGTTGTAGAAAGAAAATGTTTGTGGGTGTACTCAGTGTTTTTGCTCCTAAAATGTGGGGTTTTTATTACCTAACAAAGACAAAACCCAAAGAAGCTAAATATATGCTGAAGAATAAGGTCCCAATCCTGCAAAAATTAACATATATGTTTACGTGAATGTACAGTAAATACGTCCTGTTTTGCCACTTACTCACATAGGACAATGATTTCACTGAAAAAGAGATGAGCTTAATCCTAGTTTGTAAAATTAAGATTGAAGACCAGTGTTTGCTTGTTTGGGAGCCATGAAGACTGATAAATTTCACTTTCATTTTTTTGCGTGTTAATCTAGAATAAATCTTTTGAAGTTATTAGAATAACAAGAATTTAAACTAGTTAAGTTGAAAGAAGATTCTTGGTCTTTTTACACTTTTCTTCAGGATATCTCTTTTCTTTCTTGCAGACTTCTAAACAATACAGCCAAGCAGTGAATAAGAGCAATGAAGTCCATCTTTACTGTGCATTTCTGGACTACAGGTATGTTAATAATTCAAAGTTCTTTATCTTTATTTAATCTGATTGCACACATTTTGTCATCGTAGATGTTACCTATTTTCTTCTTATACTCTTTGATCATTGAAATTGTTAAATTGTTAATGAAGTCAGTGGGTTTGCAACAAATGCAATTCATAGTCACCATTTATTGCAAATAGGGAGCTTTTATTCAATGACCCTTTGTTAACTATGTGATTAAGAGATTGAAAGACTTTGGAATCAAATCCAAAATGCAAACTGATACTGATCACACTCAKAATGGTTTGTGAATATGTTCATTTGGGCAGAGGGATGACTGTTTTAAATTGGCATCCCTCCAGCAGAGCCATTGTTTTCACTGGATCTATGCCTGATCCACAATAAAATGCAAGAGGAGAATGGGGCCCCCTCATAGTATTTCAGAACTGAGAGTTATTGTGCAGAAACGTTATGACCTTGAATGCAAAACAGAATAAAAGGTAAATAAATATAATGCTAAATTTCAAAATAGCAGTAGCAAAAGCTACTGCAAAAGCAGTAGCTATTATTTAGCTGTGAATATATTTCATGTGTTCTTGATTTCCGAGCACGCTGCTCTTGCTGATTTAATTGAAAAAGGATACAAATAGGGAATTTTGAATTTCATGAGGATTAAAGATTTCTGTAATGGCATAAGCTTAATTGATGTAGAAATGGTTTGCAGTGGTATGATCCCTCCTATGCAGCAAGCAAAGAAGGTCAGTGTAATTCTTACATTAAAGTTTTGTTTCAAGTACGTAGAACTGTCCCAGCTGCCTGAAGTTTCTTGTTGTTATGGTTACTCATAAATTGTGATAAATTAGAAACAGATTTTACTGAAGCTTATTAATGTGGTTGAGGCATTGTTCCCATATTGTGTTCCATTGGGGATTGAGCCCTTGAGGCTCTGCCTCAGGATAGAAGCTGTAATATGAAATCTGTCCTTCCAAATGAGTTTTATTTATGTCAAGATGCTCTTATTCCCTTCTTCATAGTAGCTAAAGAATAAGCAATTTGTTTCTGACCTATGAAAGACTCTCTTTGAGAACTCAAGTTGGTCCCAAAGGGTGAGGTAATACCTGCCTTTAAAATACACAGAAAATTACAGATCATTTGCCTAGCTTCACGACCTAAAATAATATTAAAAGTAATAAATAGTCAGTTGTGAAGAAGTCAGCCAGGGTGGGAAACCTGCAGTACCCGAGCCACAGAAGTCGGGTTTGAGGCTGCCTTCCATATCCCTGCTCTGTCGCAGGACTCCCATTTGGGTTGTGTCTGTGCAGTATTTCCCAGGAAATCCAAATTCCTGGCTCTGAAAAGCAGCAAGCCAGTGGGGATGACATTTCTGCACAGCCCCACGTCAGGCCACGTGGCCAGTCCAGCTACGTTTTCAGTAGTGCAGGAGCTGCCCTTTGCTGACCTTAAGGATGAAGTGACAAAGAACAATTGACATAGAAACCATGTCACTAGAAAACATGTTCAGTCTAAATTACCTATTTTAGCAGGCAAATGGGACAGGGAGTAAGACAATAGATATGGTGGTTCTCAAAATATAGAAAATTTGGGSCTAGGTGAAATGCCATAAATGGGTTGCACGGTATTATCAAGAAATGTAATTATCAGTCAATTACAAAGCTGGGAAGAAATCTCTACTGTCATYCTCATAGGAGTGCATTTGGGCCCTGTTCCAGTCAATATTTTCCTTGACTATTTTCATGATGAATACACGAACAATGTTGTTGATGCATCAACTTTGGATGGCTTTCAGGCCTTTATTTTCTCCCCTATAATATAATGCATGCCAAAATAACCTAAATAAAACCTAAATAAAGCTTATCAAGCTTATCTTGATTGCATTTTTGTGTATTTTGCAGCAATGGAATTGGTGTTTGGTCCAACGAAGGCTGCGTGCGTGAGAGTGGGGACCTCAACCACTCGGTGTGTCTCTGCAACCACCTCACAAACTTCGCCATTCTGATGCAAGTAGTCCCTCTAAAGGTGAGATTAAGAAAAGGAGTAAATCTGTGTTCAAAACAGAGCATGAATACATCAGATACATCCACCAATCACATTAATAAGTGACTGAAATTTAGCTCATTTTTGCCCAACTCAAGTTTATTCCATGTCTTGCTTTCTGGGATGTTGTTTTAATATTTCTTGATTATGCATTCTAAAACTTCTGCAAATTGAAATGGAACATGAAATCAAATACATCTGTGACAGGTAGAAATCCTGAGGTGCTGGACTTTATTCTCACATTTTTGGTATGATTTTTTAAAGTACTGGACAGCAGAAGCACTGGAAGGCATGATCCTGTGTCCTTTTTTCCGGGATAAAGGAAAGACTAGATGAACTAATAAGTACTTCCCTATTCTGTCTTTAAAATAATAATAATAAAGAAAAGACTSAAAAAGCTGAGATTTAGCTGCTTAAGGATTTTGGTAACTAAAGCTGTGTTTATTCACCATGTTCTAAAATTCATGAGCTAAGGTTCAAAAGGCCCAAAYAAATCACCAGTTTGAATACTAAATTGTCAATGCTCTAAGGAATTTTTTCAGTGATGTTATATTAGATCTTTAACTTTTGTATATCTTATTTTTCTTTTCATAAATATTTCACATGTGTGTGAAGTTTAACACATAAYATTAGATGTGAAAAGAGAGGGTAGGAGAAATGGAAGCATCTGCTCACATTCGAACAGTTCTATTTAAACAGCTGCTATATATTTGTGGCTATATAAATAGACCTGTATTAAAATTTTCCATCTGAATAGTATTTTTGATTGAATATTTATTTTTTGTCTACCTATTTTTTTTAATACAAAAAGTGTTGTTTTTCGTGGAAAATGTTAGTAGCTTTTTGGAAGTGGAATGTCTAGAAATTGAAGCACTCTTAATCGAAAGCTGTATTTTGATTCAAAAAGRTGATTTTATTCTTCATGTGAATTGTGATGCCTTGTATTTCCATTCCCCTCCTGTGAAAGGCAGCATATTTCCTTTCCATCTTATTGACAAGAACAACTGTCAGAATAAAACATATATGCAGTCCTCCTCTCTAAGGGCACCCACGATAGCCATTAACATCGTGTACTATTTTTTTTTTAACACTGACACCAAGCAAAAGTCCTACCATGTTTTGCAGAAAGGCAGGCAAACGCATAAACAGTATTAAACAGAAGCAGGGGGAGGATCATGGATGACTCCAAAGATCCATGAGGAAGAGCAGCTTGTTTATAGTAGCTTCAGAGCTGGGAAAGCATCAGCGAGAAGACAGAAACTGATRTGGAAATGCATGAGTACTGGAGAGCAGTTCACCCTGGTAGGTGGTCTGACTTTCCCAGCATAAGCTTCCCAGGAATGACACACTGCAGGTAGTTCAGGAGACAGTTGCTGTTCACAACTGGAGAGCACGAGGGACTCTCCGAGGTCAAGCAATACCAGGGCTTCTATAAGCAAGAAACACTGAAAATAAGGGAAATTTGAGCAGCAAATGGAATCAGCTTTGCATGAGCGAGTACTGCAAATATACTGAAAGTTCYCTCGTGTTCCTTCCAGGGTGCATGTGTGGAGTTTGGGGTAGCTGCAAAATGATGTTTTTGAGCTGAAGACAAAGAGCTCTCTTGAGGGGCAATGTTTTCTAATGGTCCTATTTCCCCACTGTGTTTTCATCATTACTGTCCCTTAGAAATGATTATTTTAGTTAAAATTGACATTAACAAAAAAGAAAAGGTGTTTTTTTTATTTTCCCCTCCAGATACATTGTTGGTGTTTTAGATTCCAACAAAATAATAGAAAGAAAAAGACTCCCTCTTCATGCATACTCTAAAAGCATTCTAGGGCTATTCTCAGCCTTGAGAGCACATGCTTTACTCTTGGCCCCATGCAGGCTGATATTTTCTTAGTATATAAATGTTTTTAAATTATATGTTTCATTGTGACATGCCCATAGTTAGAAAGAAACTCCTCGGTTATCTTTTYCTCTTTGTCCCCTGATGTGGTCAAGTCTGGCTTTTTTCACTTGTATAAAAATAGCATGATCCAAACACTGTCAGCTTTGATACACTTTGAACTGCCATAATACCCCTCATCTTTGTAGTACTGGACCAGATCACTTTCACCTCTTCACCAACATCCAGCAAAGAGAAATTTCTCTCTTTATATATATATAGTTTAACTACTTTGTGTATTTCTTATGAACATAAATGACTTCTTATATTCTGAAGATCCTTAATCACTGCAATTTCATAATAAGGTAAAGATCTACGTTAATAATTTATGCATCAGTCTTGGAGACAAATTAAAATGCCACCTACGGAATTTATTTTSCTTTAGCGTGCCATTTATAGGAACAAGGTTGTAGGATGTCAGGCATATGACAGTGCTTTCTCTTGAAAGCTTGAAATATTGTGAAAGGAAGAATGCTGACAAATTGTTGCTTTTATGGGCACACTGTCTGGTGAGCCTAATTTTCAACAAGAATAGAAACACAAGAAGGCTGATAGGAACAAGCTGTGAGTTCTTGATTTTTCTGCTCCATCTTTACTCAAACCAGGCTGGAATAATTTATCTGCCATTCTACTACATGCTAGCCATAAATAGTCCCCAGGAACTGAAGTCAGAATAGCACTTTTATTCCAGTATTTCAGAAAAACAAATCGAAAGAGATCAGGAAGGAAAGTATAAATTCTGGAAGTTTTAGCTCAAGTATGACAAAATGGGTGTACATCTCTGTGACCAGCCCGCTGGTTTGCTGGAGGAGTTCTGCAAATGCTGYGAATTAGCTAAAACTGAGCTTGAATTCTAAGTGTGGCTGAACACTATTCTGTATTTTCTGATTGTTTCAGCAACAGCTTGAACACACTCAAGTCACCCTGATTGCAAAAGAGGAGTGTTAACAATACTGCTGATTAGCTTGATATCAGCATATGCCGTCTAGCTGCCTTAATTGATGCAGAGGATTAGCAGTTTATTTTGGGAATGAAACAACCATGTTGGAAAAACTTACAAGCATGTGGTGCTCAGATGTTAGACTGGCACTGACCTGTTACCCGCTGATGAATTGGCCTTCGTGGAGCTCCAGAATTATTTGTATCTTTTTTTACTCTGCTGTTAATGTCTGTATCAGGCTGGCTCATATTTGGGTTTGTTTGCTGAGACTCATTTATCAGGCAGGTTTTAACTTSAGGAATAATGCTTGCTCGGAGTTTTGGAGATTAGTGATTGTTAATTGATTTTATCAATTAATTTTGAAGATCCAAGGTGAAATGCCATCAAAGATGAGCAAAGTTCCATAAGGGACACATTCAGCCCTGTAATTAAGGTCAGAGCACAATCAGAATTCAGAACTCGCTTGGGAAATCTTTTCATACAACTCTGATAAAGATACTAATACTTTTATACATGCACTGCCACTCACATCCCCATTTTGCAAGAAATTGTGTCCATCAGACATTTTGAGCAGCTGTGCAGATATTAACTGATCTATCTGCTGCTCCTTTCAGAAATTGGTTGGTCTTTCCCTTCTTTATGTAGGGGAAACTGAGGCAGAGAAAAAAGTCATGCCCATCTCCTKGCTTGAGCCACAGAACTATATTCTCGCTTTCACCCCTTCAGAGCTTGCTGCTGGCCGCGCCGCCTGCGATGCCAGCTGCCCTGCAATATTATAATTAGGAAGACAATGGTGTATTAATATAGCTGTGGTAGGAAAAACAAATAATCCATTTAGTTTGATGTGTTTGTACTGGGTTAGGCTTGTTTCTCCTGGAGCTGGCCCAAATGCAGGGTGCCCAGGGTGACCTGCTCCATGGCGCGGCTTTATTGAAGCGGTACCGTAGGCAACAGGCATCCAGTTTGCAGCAGGGCTGAGCCCTGTGTAGCAGCAGATAAGGATGGGAGAAAAGTTCCCTTCCATATGTCTCTTTTGCATCCTCCATTGGCACAGGTCTAGGGAAACCTCAGCCTGTAACGCATCTTCCCAACGGTACCTTCAAGCCCAGGGAAAGCAGTTAGTGGAGACAGAAGGTCACTGTGCCTGAATGTCCTTAAGTACTCGTTAAATCAACAYGTCAGAGATGAGAAGGATGCTTCTCTGGAGCAGTAAAATGGCTTTTACAAGGAGCTTCCTAGATAGCAGCAAAAAGCAGCACAGAGTAAGCCGCACTCCAGGAGCTCTCTAAAGAAAATTCAGATGCTGTGATTTTATTTCGGGCAGCTTTACTCCTTTTCCTCAGTCAGTGGGGCTCTGTGCTGCTGCCAGGAAGCGTGCCAGCCATCTGGCAGTTTTTATTTCTATAGTGATTCAAGCATGAAGTGTGCCAGGCTGTGTGTGCCATCTGCCACCTAAGTGCCATTTCAGCAAAAGCATGGTGGACACCTAGTTCAAACATCTCTTTAAAGGAGAAAGTACTCCTTACAGCAAAACCAAGCCTGGAGCTTGGATTTTYCTTATTTTTTTTTCCCCAAGTGATTAATGCAAGACACAACAGTAATATTTATGTCTCCGAGACCATTTGCTTGTTTTTTCCTGAGTGGCTTTGCTCTTTCCAACTCTTCCCACTGAAAGGGTGTAAGAATGACTACTGTTAAGTTCACTCRTGGATGGACATTTCCAGCAAAGAACTGCTCTGTATTCTTTGTCCTTGTACTGTTCTCAAAATCTCTGCTACTTCTTCCTGGAATTAGAGTCTGGAACAATGACCACATCCCAGGTGCTCCTCCCATTGAGGCAATGGCCCATGGTGGCCCAATGATGAAGCCACTGGTTGGTTCTACTTGCCATGTCCAGAGCTCCCTGCTGCAGAGCCATCCGAGGCAGCAACTTCTCCTGCCCAGTCCTCATTCTCTCTCCTGTGGGGACTCGGCATTTCATGTTTTTCTTTGCTTAAGGGTGGAAGGGACCTCCAGAGGTCATCTAGTCCAACCCCTCTGCACACGCAGGGTTAACAGGCATAGCTGACTGTTATATTTTGTAAATAAAATATGCAATGGGTTTTTCTTTGC